AACAGTGGACTTGATAAATCTTTCTCCATCAGTTCCTCTTAAGGGGGATGTTCTGTAAAGAGTTTGGGGTGGGAAAGATGATTCGTATAATTACCTGAAAGTGTTTGGTTGCCTGGCATTTATGCATGTTCCAAGAGATGCAAGGTCGAAGCTTGATAGCAAGTCTAAACTGTGTATCTTCTTAGATTATGGACATGAAGAGTTTGGCTACAGGTTATGGGATCCAGTTGCAAAGAAAGTCATTAGAAGCCGAGATGTGGTATTCTTTGAGCATCAAACCATTGAAGACATTAACAAGCTGGGGAGACCAAAGAATATAGCGCAACATTATGTTAGTTTCAGTCCAAGTCCTCCTACCGTATTGGGTGGAAATCACGAGAGAAAAGTACACGAAAATCATGAAGATGGTAAATCCTCACAAAATATTGATTCTTCAGTTAAGACGGGTGAAACAATTGAGTAAGAACAGCAAGTTGAGCCAGTGGAGCTAGTTGAGCAAGAATAGCCGGTCCTCCTTTAGGTTAGAAGATTTGAAAGAGAATGTAGGCCCTCACAGAAATATCAACCGCATGAGTATGAGTTACTCACAGATGCAGGAGAGCCAAAAACTTATGAAGAGGCTATGTCATGTGATCAAAAGAACGAGTGGTATGAAGCCATGTAAGAGGAGCTCAAATCATTGCATGAGAACCACACATTTAAATTGGTGAAGTTGCCTAAAGGCAAGAGAACACTCACAAATAAGTGGGTATACAAGTTGAAGATGGAAGAAAGTAGTTTGCAACCATGATACAAGGCTAGGCTTGTTGTGAAGGGTTTTCGTCAAATGAAAGGGATTGACTTTGAAGAGATATTTTCACTTGTTGTAAAAATGCCTTCTATTCGAGTTGTTCTTGGGTTGGCTGCCACCTTGAATTAGAAATTGAACAACTTGATGTAAAGATGGCTTTTCTTCATTGAGACTTAGAGGAAGAATTATATATAGAGCAACCGAAGGGTTTTATAGTCGAAGGCAAGAAGCACCTTGTATGTAGATTGAGAAAAAGTTTGTACGGTCTCAAGCAAGCGCCAAGGCAATGGTATATGAAGTTCAAATCATTCATGGAAGATCACGAGTATGGTAAGACCAACTCCGATTCTTGTGTCTTTATGAAAAGATTCTCGGATAATGATTTTCTTATCCTCCTACTCTATGTGGATGATATGTTGATTATCGGGCATGATGTTAAGAAAATCAAGAGCTTAAAAAATGAGTTGAGTAAAACTTTTGCAATGAAGGATCTAGGTCCAGCTAAGCAAATCCTTGGCATGAAATTACTCGTGATAGGTTGAACAAGAAACTTTGGCTATCTCAAGAGAAGTACATTGACAAGGTGTGTTGGAAAGATTCAACAGGAGCACATGTAAACCTGTAAGTACTCCACTTGCTAGTTATTTCAAGTTGAGTAGTGACGAGTGTCCTACAAGTGAGAAAGAGAAGGAAGAGATGATGAAAATTCCTCATGCATTAGCCATGGGTAGTTTGATGTATGCCATGATTTGTACAAGACCAGACATTGCTCATGCAGTTGGTATTGTGAGTAGGTTTTTCTCAAATCCAGATAAAGAGCATTAGGCTGCTATTAAATGGATTTTGAGGTATCTTAGAGGCACTTCCAGATTATGTTTGTGCTATGGAAATGGAAAGCCTGAGTTGGGTGGCTATTCAGATGCGGACTATACCGATGATGTTGACTCTCGAAAGTTCACATCAGGTTACATGATGATTTTTACAGGGAGAGCGGTTTCATGGCAGTTAAGATTGTAAAAGTGTGTTACTTTGTCTATGACTGAAGCGGAGTATATCGCTCTTACCGAAAGAGGTAAGGAACTCTTGTGGATGCAAAAATTCCTACAAGAGTTGGGCTTGAAGCAAGAGAAGACCGTTCTATACTGTGATAGCATGAGTGTTATCTATCTTAGCAAAAATCCGGTATTGCATTCAAGATCGAAGCATATTGATGTGAAGTATCATTGGGTCCGAGAAAAATTAGAAGAGAAGCTCTTTTTACTCGAGGAAGTCCACACCGACGACAATGGATCCGATATGACGACCAAAGCCTTGCCCGTGATGAAACTTGACTCTTGTAAAAGCAAAGCGGGCATGATAGATCTTCCCACATGAGGTGGAGGGGGAGATTTGTTGACTGGGTCCACCTTATGTGGGACCAACCAGCATAAAACAAAATAAAAGAGAAAAGAAAAAAAAAGTCAAAAAAGAAAAGAACAAAAAGAAGTGCTTCGTCAGTGGAGTGTGTTGGTTTTCTATGGAACATGCATAGTTAAATTAAATATAAACGCAGCGGAAAGATATAACCATACATGTATCTCCAAAAGCGTTGTTCGTGCGTTTCAATCAAAAATCGGAAGACCATAGGGGGTTAAACGGATTACCTCTCGTAGCATGCCCAAAACGATTTCGATTCAGATGTTCTTCAGTTCGAGCCCCACAACCGTCGGACCTCTAATTCAGACACACCACTAATCGCACGACGAACAGAAGAAAGAACTTGCGGGTAATCACCAATAGAATTGTGCTAGCAATCTTATGGCAACAATTCTCCGCACTCTTGATATTTCAATCACGGCGTCGGAAGAGAGAAAACGTAATTTTTAACTCTCACGAACACATGATAATTGTTTTCACATTTTTTCGTCATTCTACAACTCCTGTTGATTGCGCTTTTAATATGGCAATCAGCAATGGTTGCTGATCATGCATGTATGCACATGTACACATGATCAGTAACGGTTGCTGATCGTGTGTGACATGTACACGGTCAGCAACCGTTTGCTGATCGTGTGCCTTTTTTTTTTAAATTAAAATGCACACGGACAGCAACTATTGATGACCGTGTGCACTTTTAAATTTATATATATATACAAACATAGAAGTGCACGATCATTATATGTGTATTTCGTGAGCATCATATGCACACACGCCCATGACAAAAATTTAATTAAATTAAATCTCATTTAATTTAATTTCAGTCCGACTCAAGTCGATTGCAAACATATTTCCAATATCGTTTCTTCCGTACAACGTCATCCTAAATTGGTTATAGTGTGTGACATCCCTAGGTTCATCACTGAGCTAATAGTAAGACTTGCACCAACACATTAGTACTCTTAAGAAAATTGATTATCCCGATCAACCTCTAGGTCTTACAAGCCATGATTGACATCTAGCAATATGTCATGTCTACCTAGACAGTGTGAATGCTTTAAGAACATAACGAACTTGTCAACTTTGGCTACAGTGCAATTCAATCCCTCTATCTTACTATGTCCCGAAAGAACAAAGACCATAGAATATTTGTCAAGCCACCAATTCGATCATATGCACAAACCTAATTGACGTGCATTTTATATGAGACATGAACAATTAATTCTCGGTTACAACCCCGGCCGAGGATTTTAATGCAGTGTCAAGATTAGATTGCATAGGACATCATTATTGTACCTTGCATATAACAAGGAGACAGATTCCATTTTGCGCACACGCGTAACTTCGTATGTGAACGAACTATGGCCATCAAGTACAAAGACGATGCACACCTGTGAACCATAGCCATCCAACACACAAGTCAACATTGTGCCTCAGGTCTAAGGATTATTTACACAAGACCAGAGCATGAACGATTAGGCATTGACCAAGCTAAAAGCTTCCATGTTGCTAATCGTTATATGCGTGTCATGTTCAGTGAACTTGTCTGGTACAAGCACCTGTATTCTAACTCAGGCATCACAATACCCAATGACTAGTGACTCGTCATTCCCTTAAGTATCCAATACTTAATGGTGAAGCTAAGAACACACCGGTCTCAACAGGATCATTAATATCCACTCAATGATCCATCGACCGGAAACAATTTAAAAATTCAGTCTAACTATGAACCTGTCACACATATTCTTAACGTCTCAAGAATAGGTCAAGTCACAACTGATCTTATGGAATCATTCATATATTTAAATAATTGGACAAATGAATGAATACGTCCTTGCCATTAAATAAATAATGAAATTGAAAATACAACTTAAATCCCTAACATATGACTATTACATTGTGACTTTAGGGCATACATCTAACAGAGTGTGTGCCCACAGAAGAGAGAGAAAAACAGAGGGTCCCCACTGAGAGCACAAGAAAACAGGGGAGAAGAAAAGGGGCTATGGCTTGTGGTCCCGATTCGAGAGCCATACGTTGTCGGAATTGGCTCAAATTTTAGTATGTTGTTCGTGAGACCACGAGTTGAACGGTTTCGTTTGTTGAGAATCTCCTCGGAACTCTCCATTTACGGTTAGGCTGCGTTTGGTCGTCGGGATTTCTGGTCAGGATAGGATTGGATAAGCTAGGATAAGAAATCCAGGGATTTGGCCATATCCTATCCATTGTTTGGTGAACTGCGAATTTAAAGTTGGATATTCTCATATCCTATCCTATCCTGCGTTTGGTAGAAACCGTATATCAATGTAAAGAACATATATGCCCCTATGTGATGCTCATGAAAATTGTCATCATCATCTTTATGTTTGCCCCATGAACTTGAAGCCTTTTCCATACACAATCAAGCAGAGATTGCAATCTATGGAAAATAGAGCGCCCACTCCGAAGAAACCTTTTCATGTGTAACAGCACAAGATCCTTCAGAATAATGAACAAGTTTTTCTTGGCGTTATCTTAGCGAGCTGACCCTCTCCAATCTATACTGACTTTCACTGCTAAATATCTTGCCTAGGAACGCAGTGGTGAATGAGCAAAAAGAAAAAGAACTGAGCAAAAAAATAATAATATGAAAGCAAGGGTACGACGAGACTACAACAACAACTATGAATAAAGCTCCAAACTTCACAAGAAACAACACATTCCAAAAACTAAAGCATTCCAATAAATAGTAAAATCAACATTGTTCGATGTTGTTCATTGTCTAAAAAATAGCAAAAAGAGACTACACACGACATTACTCTTCTATCATCTCTTGGAGAAGCATGTCCACAAATGCCTTCCTGTCATCTCCTTGAAATCCAAAAAAAAGATAAATATTCTCAGGATCCTTCACAATTTTTCTGCACAATTTTATTCTGTCCATGGTATCTAGAGACATCTTAAGAAGCTCTTCGTTCATTTTTCTCTTGTCATCATCCAAATCTTTCGCATGTCCAATGCGGCTAGCAATCATCTCCATCCTCTCGTTAGCTTTTTCCATAAAAGAGCCAAAAGTGCTTGCAATTTCAACTAACCCAGCAGCCCACTTGTCACTTGCTTTAGCCCTTTTTCTTCTTGAAGAATCAGCAACATTTTGCATTTGAGAAGATGATAGTGGCGGTAAGTTTTGATTTGCACCAGTAGTAGCCACGTCAGAATGATTCTCACTTTCTTCATTATCTACAGCCGCATGAGCTTCTGAAGGGTCTTCACTAAGATTTCCCTTGGTACGGTCTCTTCCAAATACAGTTGCTAGTCGATCATATTGAGGGAAGGACTTTCCTCTCAAAGAAGCAGCTCCTGGATAGGCCTACAAAGAAAATATATATATATTTTTTAAAAGAAACAAGTTGTAAAGAAGAAAAATGAGAAGAAGTAACACTAACCTTGCAATATTTTTGCCAACTATCTTCCGAATGAATATCAACGGAATGTTTTTCGTGATCCCATCCAAAGCCACTTTGATCCTTCAAGTCATAAATCTGATTATACAACTTTTTCAAGTTTCTCATTTTCGACTCAATATGAGGATTACCCTTAATGCCAGAACCAGGAAACTTTTCTTGAACCCACTTCTCTAACATAATCATGTAACCACTCTTGAAGTCGTTATCAGATTTGATTCCTCGCGCAACTAGTTCTTCAAGACCATCTAGAAGTGTATTTTCTTCATCTATTGTCCATACACGTCGGTCTCTCTTTGTTCCCCTTCCTTGGGTTTGACTAAAATCGCTACCTTCCATTCCTAAACATCCCATTGCAATTTTACAAAATTTAATGATAGATGATAGCATGGTAGAGAAAATTTAATGATAAAAACAGCATAGTATTAAAAATTTAAAATGATATAGCCAGAATTCAAACATTACATAAGGAATATTTTTCTCCATGATGACAAATCAGCACCATATTATACATGTCTAATAGCAATGGAAACAAAAACATCTTACAAAACAAGCCTTACAATAATTAGAAACAAATGAGACAAGGAATAATGTCAAATCAGGCGACTCCTCCATGTCCTCGACTGGCATTCCACTCATTAAACATTTGTATTGCCAAATTTTGCCTCCATGTTGTCCAATGATCCGATGGCTCAAGAACATTAATTGTTTCCACATCTTCAATGGTGTTAGCAACTTCATCTAATTGTGCCTCAATTGGATCAATAGCCATTTCTCTTCTTATCAAGTTGTGTATAAGGCAACAAGCTATAATAATCCGTGTTTGCGTTCTAATTGGATAAAAAGATGGACTCCTAAGAATAGCCCACCGTAACTTTAATAGACCAAAGCATCTTTCTATGACATTTCTAGCTTGAGAATGCTTCATGTTGAAGTACTCGTCAGGGGAATTTGGCATACAACCTTCTCTCCACTCGGATAGGTGGTATCGAGTACTTCTATAAGGAGCAAGAAAGCCCTCCCCATTTGTGTATCCGGCATCGACAAGATAATAATTACCTAACAACAAATGATAACATTATTAATTGTCTTAGAATCGTCAAACCCGACACGTTAAATAATGTAACATATTGATAAGGGCTTATCTTACCGACGGGAATCTTCAGACCATTGGGTTTAACTAAAACATCTCGAAGCACTCTAGAATCTACTGCTGAGCCTTCCCATCCAGGTAAAACGTATACGAATCTCATGTCACGTGAGCAAACTCCTAACACATTGGTCGCTATCTCACCCTTTCTATTTCGATACCTTGGTTTATCAACCTCTGAAACACGTACCCTAATGTATGTGCCATCTACTGCTCCAAAGCAACCCTAGAAACATGAAATTAATAGAATAACCTTATGTTTAAAGTATTAAATTAATCCATGTAATAGCAAAGCAAACATACCTTAAACCATTTCCATCTCTCGTCGGTACATTCCTCTGGAACTGGTTCAGGTGACACAAGAAGCACACTATGCATTCTTATCACAGCACTTAAAACTAAGTTAAAATACCTACTTATTGTCTCCCCAGACCTCATAAATCTGAACTTGATAACACGATTTTTCACATGATGGGCAAGTATATGTAGGAACATTGCCACTTGTTCTTCTATAGTCACAATTCCATCTTCTTTTAACCCACCAATTGTATGTGCCAACTCGCATAGTAGAGTAAATGTACGTCTATCCATTCTAAGTTGTTCCACACAATTCAAGTCACTATTGTTAATGAGGCGATCAAGGTGATCTAAACGAGTTTGCCTTTTAAAAAATGTGCGATCCTTCAATATATGTTTACGGTAGTGCCTTTCAGCAACTGTGGATGCCACAATCATATACATCATACACAAAAGCAACATCTGCAGGTTCATCTCCTCTAATATCAAAATGCTAAAAATTTCCTCTCTCTCATCGTGATCCATTTCTAATAAAGGAAAAAAAACAATAACATTAGGCAAATACTAAGTAGTAGGTTAGAACATTGACAAAATCTGTCATATTCACCAAATATTAAGTGCTTTTGGATAGAAATGTCTCATTAGTTTAGCTGCTTGCAATGCAAAACAATGCTATAACTTTTATCATAGAAATGGAGCTAGTTTTTGCACATAAGAGAACTAGAATAGCTACAATACTACTCCCCATAAATCAAAACAGTGACTGCTTCTACTTTGCTTTTCTTTACAGTCCTATCAATCACGGTGTCTACAAAGTAGTGAAGTCTCTATTGCTACAGTTGAGCAACAAACAAACAATGTAGGTAAATGACAGGGAAAATGCATAAGTTGTTCTCTCATCCTTAACATTGAACAGTCCAAAAATAAAAGGTGTGTCTGCCTATCCAGGCATAGACTTCACGACAGTTGCAATCAAGGGCATCTTAAAATATTTTGGATTCATTAAATCACCTCGGTAAGCTAAAAGACCCTATTCTCTCCCCATTATTATCTGGTCAACCAACAAAAGATGGACATGACCCGCAGAAATCATCCAATGAACAAGAACAACCTGGTGAGATAGTTACGTGTCTCTCACAGAAATTGGTGCTCATTGGCATCATCATTTAGTAGCATGAATACTTGAAAAGCAAAATAGTGCAAAAGGGACCTCAAGATCAAGAGATCAATGAAAGCTAAAAAAAAACTCCATCTTCAGTGTAGGAACATTATGTATCAGGTACTTTTAACAATGTATATACTTCTTCTGGAAGGGAATGTTATATTCTGAAAACCCACACATCAAACTCTATTTAAAATATAGCCTTCTTATCTCGATGAAACATTATCCCAACTAGCTGCAAAATAACTCTTTCCTTAAATTCTCACATAATTTGGTTGTCAAACAGCAATGTTTTCTTTGGCAACTAAAAATTTTATTCTAACAAGATCAAACATTGCTGCCTTGTGAAAAGAGAACTCAATGGATTAGTTCTCAATGAAAAGACAACTCAAAAATTTTACTTCTAGGGAGCTATTAATATGGAAGTTGTTGCAGAGAATGAATGTCTATTATAATTAAGACAGCCTCTAACATAAGGGTGTGATGCTTATGTATTTTACTTGTTTACGAAAACAGAGGTGGAGATTGGGATTCAGGTGGGACATGTAATGAAGAAACAGGACCGATCTCAAGTGGGGGCTTCCTCAACAACTATCCTTTGAAAATGAGGATAGTGGAGCAAGTCGTCAGGGAAATGCGAGTTCCCGTGATGCTTCTCAACGTCACAAGGTTGACCAACTTCCGCGAGGACGGCCATCCGTCAGTATATGGAAAAAACACCACTGGCGGAACTCAAAGCCGACCACCACCCGAGAGAGAAAAAAGAAAGAGGAACATGATAAACAACTCTCATCATCTAAAAGCACTCAAAACTCACACAGCACGCAGACACGATATCCACGACATGGAGCCCAACGAAGGACTCGTTTACGACAACTTCGTCGTTCGATTACCGGTTAACAAAGAATGAAAATTATAAACCCAAACTACTGAAAAAAAATTGCAGAAGCAAGCTGTAGACGATCATGGATGAATACATACCTTCGCAAATTGCAGAAGCAAGCTATAGCGTGGGTGAAGGAGTGCGTGAATGAAGGGGTAGGGTTTCTAAAAAGTAGCTTTTATATGACGGATAAGAGAAATCCTATCCGACCTTATCCTACCCCCCTCCCTCGGATTTTTTAATCTAGGTTATATCCCTTCTATATCCGACATTATACTATCCGAGACACCTACCAAATACGGGATAGGATAAAACATATCCTATCCCGAGTTTTATACGGACAACCAAACGCAGCCTTAGGGTTTTCTCCTCCGTTTTATGTAAATCTACCTTCGTGGTGATGAAAATGATGTTGTAATGTTGATGTTGTGCCTCAAGTGTGTGACTAGAGAAGAACTTGGTGTATCCTACTATTCTTGGTGATTAGTTAGAGCTTTTGGGCGGACCGTGATTTTTCCCGCATTGGGTTTCCACATTAAATCTTGGTGTCGTTGTTGTATTTGTCTCCTTATTATTTCAAGGTTGAATTGTTGGAATATTGTTGGTTGTTGCTAGGATTAAGTTAATTTCGGTCTGTTTAATTGTGGGGGAGATATTGATCCTGGATTGGGTTTTGTTCTTGGTGAATTGTTGCCCGGTTCTCCCCAACAGTCATGCTCCAAGAGAGAGAGAGAGAGAGAGACTACTGGAGAGGGGTCGTCATTGTCGACGTCAGCTTGGTGGTTGCGCTCGACGTGGTGGTGTTTTCAGCTGTGGTGGTCAGAGGCGTTGTGGAGATAGAGGAGATTTGGGCTGTTGTTGCTTAGGGTTTTGGCGAGAAAATAATCACTGACGTTTTGGTGTTGTGTGAGGTCCGACTTAGATTGAGCACGTGTACAGACCTGGATGAAGGGGACAGTAGATGGCAATATCGCAACATAATTGGTAACGGCAGATCTGCATCACCAATACATGGCAATAATGCATGCCAGTGATCCTCTGTACTTCGGACGTTCCACCGTGTGAATTCTTCTTTGCATTCTTAATTCACCCGTGCACTTACCTATACAGTCTCTTTTGCACCAGTAAGTCCAAACGCAGCTCTTTTTGAACCCAAGGCAACACCCACAACATTCAGCCATGGTTTGTTGGGGACTGATCCACGATGGCCTACCTCACTCGACAACCATGTCGTTCCATGATATTCCTTGTTGTGATGACCTCAGAGACAGCAGAACACGCCTGAGTGCATTCCAAAGTTTGAGCCTATTTGACATTCCTAATCATCTCAATCAAAAGCGATATAACACACTAGCAAGAGGTTGCTTTTCTTTTTCATAAACCTTGCAAGAGGTTGGTTTAAGTGCAAAAGAAAACTGAAGATTCGATACATGCTTATATTGGTTTTCAATACTGTAACTGACTCGCTCTCCATCCGCACAAATACAGAAACAGGTGATGTCCAGCGCAAAGCCAGTATTGCAAGAAACCCTTAAAGAGCTCTATCTAGATAGCTTCCCCGAATGCTTGAAACTGGCAGATTTGGGATGTTCTTCAGGTCCCAACAGTCTACTGTTTTTTAGGGAAATGATCGATTCCATCGATGCAATGCAAAAGAAACTAAATAAGAAGGAACCCATGTTCCAGATGTTCCTGAACGATCTCTTCGGCAATGATTTCAACACCGTATTCAGATCGATCCCAAACTTTTACGAGGAGCTGAGGAGAGAGAAGGGAGGAGATTTCGGGCCTTGTTTCATAGCAGCAATGCCCGGGAATTTTTATGGGAGGTTGTTCCCTGACCATTC